TCAAGTAATTTGAATATGTCAGTCTCACACTATGATTTTCTTACTTTGCATAATTAAAGTTTCCTTTTGCACAAATAAAACTAAACACAAATTCCATGAGCCTCTATACAAACTTCTACTTGCATACAACTGGACCAGGATTGAACATTGCAGCAGAATCAAGTGTATTTGTGGATGTTCCTTTTTTTACTTGTCTACTAAAAAAATAATACTGTATTAGCAGTAAGTAAAAGCACAAAGTAAATATTGCAAGAAATACAATAATGCCTGCTGTCAGGATCACAGAAGTATATGTCTAGTGCTGTTTTGACAAAATGTCAAAATCTTCACTTGAAAAACAAATTTAATGTTTGTATATTGAGAATTAAGAGCATGCTATTATAAACTTGACAGAAGCTCTCAACAGCCTGTTAAAAATAGTGGCAAAAATGACTATTTATTTCAAAGCCTGGTTGAGGTTTTGATTTAGGTTTGCATATTTAAAATAATGACAAAATATCATATATAACAGTATAAAAGCAAAACCAGTACTGCACTTTGCCATTCACCACTGTATGCAATTTAATTTCTGTTCTGACAGAATTTTCTGTGATTTTCCTTCTTTGTGTAATATATCCTCTAGATTTACTCTTCATTTATATTTATGGAAAAGAACAAACATTAGAATACCAGAAATGTACTGCAAATATAGCTGCATTTCTTTCCATATAGGAAAGAAAAGTCGTCTATATAAACTATTTAACCACTTTCACTTTTCTGTTTCTAATTTATTGTTATGAAACATGATAAGAAGAAACTGTAAAAGTTGCTTTCCCTTTTGTAATACTAAAGATGATATAGTACTCAAGGAAAAAGAAATTTAGTCTTTAATAGCAAAATAGTGGCCCATGCCTGAGACCAAGTTTTGCTGGCTGGCACAATCCCTGCGAGGTTTTTAATCTGCATTGTGAAGTATGTGAGTAATATGAAAAAAAACCCAAACCTTCCAGTAATATATTAAACACACTTATTACAGAAACCAAGAAAAATGAAAGAGATTGAATCGCAAGAACAATGCAAGTCTCTCTTGTGAGAAACACTGTTTAATAAATTATAAATATATCATCATATGAAATAGAAGGATAAATTCAGCCCTCCTGACTGAATGAAAAAAAAATATTGCACAAATCAAGAACTTTTTATTACCATTTGTGATGATGGAGTTGAAATATTGCAAGAGAAAATTATTATGGCTTTATAAAAGGTAGTTTTTTTCCATATTAACTCCTAGAAATAATGTTATGAATGTTACACTAAGAATTTTTGAGCATCAGAGTAGGCATAGTGAATGGGGGCATAACTCCATCTCTCCAGGGTAAATTTCACCACTGGCAAACAGCTGGAAACTAAGTAAGAAAGCATAAAAAGGACAGACATCCACACAGCACTAATTCATCCCCAGTCTCCAATGATCTGGTGCATCAAGAATTTCTTGTTGTCTCTGTAAATTTAATATTTGAGCCTGTCAAAGTTAGGCTTGAACTGGCATAAACATTTTGCATCCACAACATCCTGCAGCAAAGAGCTACACAGCTTACCTACATGGAACATAAAGAAATACTGCTTTTATTCACTCTCAACCTATTTCAATAAATTTAAATAGTGGAAGGGAGAACAAATATTTGCTCATTTATCTACTTCTATTTCATATTTTTGATTCTTATTACTTCTCTTAGATACTACAGCTTAGACAAAAAATCAGCAATTTTCTGATTACATCACTAAGAAAGATACAGGCTTTTGTTCACAAGAAAGTAACATTAAATTCTATATCTGATTTATGGATACAAAGACTATAAACATTTGGGCAATGAATAATTTTATCCTGACTGTGGTACAAGAAAGTTTCAAATCGTGAAAGTGAAGAGAAAGAAGAGACATTGAGCATGGAAAATCCCAGGTTTTTCTGCAGGAATTCCTGCATGTTCAGGATTGCATGGCAAAAACTTTCAAATTTAACTAGTAACTGAGGAAAATCATAAAAGGATTATTTTATATTTGGACAAGGAATCAAACATATTTGAAGTGAAATTATCTGAGATTTCTGAGTCGGCAAAACTCTATCAAAAATGTCACAAGAGCACATAATTACTTTCTCCCTTTCACATTTTTCTTACCAGACTCTTCTGTTTCACTTATTGGCCCAAATTCATAGAAACCACCTATGTCTGTCAAATTATTCTGGTGCCTCTGTAAAGTCTGAAGGCTGTTCTGTGCTTGTCCTGGCATAGTTCATAACCACATGGATTAGATTTTCTTTTTTTAAATATAGAAGATGTCTAAGGATAGACAGCTGCAATTCAGCAGCTGGAGCCCATCCTACAAAATGTGATAGCTCTGCACTGCTCCCCACCATCCCTCATATGAAACATTCCAGTTGTGGTAAAGAATCAGCAGCCTAACTTGAGCAGATGTGGCAAAACAGCCTACAGAAATTTTACTAATTGTAATAAAAATTTGTTTAATTTGCTCTTTTGTTCTGTGTTTTTGACCCGACTATGAATTTCCTTCTGTTGAATATGCCTTCCACTTGTCCCAACTCCACCAGCATTTCCTTCCTACATGTTGATCCCTCTTTTCTTTGAGCCCAGCCTTGTTTTGTCCTCCAAGCAGGCTGTGTATGAGCTCAGCTGAGGGCTGGCAATAAACCTCAAGAAGAAAAAAGCACAATCATTTACTGTCCAAGGAGAAATGGCAAGGACAGCACTGGATTCACTGATGGTTCCTTCTTTCCTTTCTACCAGCGTTGAAGGTGAGGGAGCAGAAGATTCTTGCCTAATTTCTCCTCAGGAAGCCAGCACAGGTATGTCAGCCACTTTAAACTGTTTTCATGCCACTGGAGAGGCTTTGGCATCTCAGGATTAAGACTCTTGTTAAACTGAACTCTAATTAGAAGTGTTCATCTCTCTCCAGGCAATACAGAAGGAGCCTAAATGGGCTTGATCCTAACCTAACTGCATAAAGAAAAAAACTGCATAAAGAAAAATGGAGAAATTTGGCCCTAGACCTTCTGCTGATTGCAAACACATTGATGGAGATGACTTTCACCAGTTCCTTCTAATAGGTCCACAGGTACCACATTTAGGTACTTTCCTAAATGTGCCTCTGCCTCTGGTAGAGGCAGCCAGCCCATGATAACTCCATTGCTACATTAAGGGTTGTTATTTGCAAACTGCTGGAAGGAACATTTTCTGAACTGTTAAATCAGTAATGTTAATGTCTCGGGAAAAGAAATGGAAGTCCCAGCAATGCCAGAGGAGGTGTTCACATGTCTGAGAAAGGGCTAAGCAAGCAGTGGCAGGGCATCCATGGATGTACAGCTTTCAATACATGAAATAAGAAGTTAGAAGAAGGATTAGGTGCAGTACTCATCCATGGGAAAGCTCACCAAATTCTTTCAAATTTTTAGACAAAACTGTCATAAGAAGAACATGGAAGATGTGGGGGAGAAAAGAAAGACTTCTTAAAAAGGAACTGAGAAAAGTTCTGTTCAGGCTTATAGAGCACAGAAAACTATTTAAATAGGAGGACAGTCTTTAAGTCACTAAGTTTGAGCTTGGGAATATTATACCTCCTCTCTTCATATGCACATTTACTACAGCTTTTAGGAAGTAAATGCTATAGTAAAGATCAATTAGAAAAATGCATGCAAAAATTTTGCAAAAGATCAAGACACAGATGATACAATGATTCAATTTTAGTATCTTGTTAACAGCTAAAACTTGGTCACCGTAGGGTTTCAGGCTAAAGAGGAACTTAACTGCTTCCAACTTAAAAAGAAAAGAAAACAAAATCACAAGAAAACAAAAGCAAAAAATTTTTAACAAGTGAAAAGCAGGATAATTATGCAGAAATCGATATGCATCCACATCTAAATGCCACAGACCCCAAGAAGCACTCACATATTTAGAAAGATTCCTTTCTCAAATACAGTGCACACACATGACCTGGTGTATATAAATGCACACACCAGCTGTATTTTCTTCCTTACTTGCAACAAATGTCTCAAAAAAGACAACACTGCATAACATTTTCTTCTGGTGCACACTCAGGCAGAAAAGCAACAGAGGCCTAGCAAATTATAGTAAAATTCAGCATTGCACATGGAAGATCAGTCCCATCAAGTGCTTCAAGAGAACTAAAACCAACCTCATCCCAAAGAAGCCAGAAACAAAACCACTGGATAGCACTGCCAAATCATAACTGCTTCTTCCTGCATTACTAAGAAACACATCTGCAGTCTTGGAATTTCTCTCTGACAGACTTCATACCTCTGCCATCTACTAATGACTGACACACCTGATCTTTTAAAAAGATGGATTTTAACTTTTTTTTAATAATGAGAAAAGTATTTTTCACCACTCATTTCCAAAAACAGCTGGAGCAGTTTGGCATAAATGTTCAAAAAGTATCTCAACTAGTAAAGGACCGCCAAATTCCACCAAGAAAGGTAAAATGACTGGGAAAAAAGAATAAGCCACTGAAAATCTTTTCTTAAAATGGAAACACTTGTGCAATTTCCACTCTCCATTGCAAGCATTATTATGTCCTCTGAAATAAAGAGCTCAAAAGCTCTCCTTCAAGTAGACAGTTGGGTTATGGTTTGAAGGCCTCTTGATTTCAGTTCTAAGAAAAATCAAAGGGGTTTATCTTAACGAATACAGAGCTTAAAAACACCAGGTTCTTGTTTACTGTTAAGACTTATTCATACCCTGCAATTTTTAACACACTTTGCAAATAAATACAAAAAACTTTTATTCCAGATAAGCTTTAAAACTGTTACTGATCCTCTTTTTTCTTTACTCTATTTTCTGTTAAAATCTGTCCAAGATTTGCCACAGGCTCAGGATTAAGAAATAATAATAAAAAAAATCAACAATGACACAAAAAAAAATCCAATTCAATCCTCTTTCAACTTACAAAAACGTGCCTCATAGGGACCATAAAATCCATGTAATTACCTGCTGCAGGATCTGTAACTGCTTGACTGGTGATGCCAGATGGTGGTTCTTGGAGCTGGTATGTTGCATTTGTGGAGGGTGTCGTAGGGCTGGTGTTGCTGTTTGTCATGTAATGTGAAGGGTATGGTGAGCTATTGTAATACTGTGCATATTGGCCCTGGCCAAAACTGGGATAGGAGGGATATTCCTGCAAGACAAAAAAGCAACTGAGTAGTCCATCAAAGTTTTGCTACTTTTCAGTGTAAATTCCAAAATATAACTACAAACACATGTCAGACTTTGAGCACGTATGCTTCCTGGACTGGATGCTGTAGGACCTAAAACTGTGAGGCAGTAAAATGAAATCTAAATTACACATAATTAAGTATGTCTTCTCATACAAGCAGTTTATTAGACACACTGCTGAAGATGCGTGAATAAGAACATCAACCTCTGACAATTAGCTTTCAGATGACAGATTGAAGAAAAACATTTATAAACATTTTAGTTTGACTTGAAATATGACAATTTCTTTCAACAAACTAAGAGCTATATTTTTTCAGCAGATGAGAATTCTAAGTTTGCCAAAGTTTGCTGAACTCCTATTAACAAATTTACCTGCTGTGAACTATTAAATCCAGTAGAATTTGTGAGTGAATTATTTCCTGCATATATTCCTGATGATGTTGTAAAACTGCTGCCTGAAATGAAAGGAAAAATTATGTGAATTACTAAAACAAAGTATTGGAAAATAACTTATATCACACAATTATATCATAACATTATGGCATATTTGTAATATTTCCCATATGTTGACCGATTCAGCTCTATAACATGTTAATACTTAGAAAGTGATAATTCATAGTTCTTACACTCTGTATTTCATTATTACAATAAAAAAGTCCCCTTGAAATTTAGACTGGAATTTTGGACCCACCTCAGGTCTCATTGAAAATTCAGCTATCACACCTCTTTAAATAACACCCAGCACTGTGGAAGTAATGAGGGTTTCTTTACTTCTTTTTTTTATTTTTCTTTTTTTTTTGTTGTTGTTGAACAATAAGGGCTTGTCCCGAGAGACACCATCTCCCCTCATGAAAACCTGGTGGCTCTGTTTCTCCTGCCACCTTTGAGAACTGTGTCCTCTCCCCTCCCTGAGCCTCAGCCCCTCACAGGAGCAGCAAAAGCCATAACTCCCTGCTCCAAACAGCTCAATCCCACTGCAAAGCCATTAGGACTCATTAATCGATCAGAGACAGCCTTGGGCTGCAAACCTCCCCTCTTTTGACAGAGTGTACTGGGCATGACACAAGAGAAAAAAAAGTACCTCTCTGAAAAGGGAGCCCCAAGATGGAATTGAGCCCAGAGACTGAATTGCTGCCTTCATCTCCCTCCTCCAGCTTTCATGAGCCACCAAAAATAGACAGATGGGGCTCTCTAATACCCAACCTGAGAAGCTGTTCTACTAAAAGGGCAGCAACCCCCTTTCAGCTGTCTTGCCCTCGCTGGCTGTAACCCAGGAGTGACACAGCCACCAGCTGAGACATATGGATGCACAGGGTGAAGCTACATAAGCCACCACAAAGTCTGTAATGAGGCAACCTCTTGAACCCATCCAGCAGGAGAGCACCAGTCAGCACAGGTTATTGTTTACAGCCACCCTCACCACCCAAATCTGCCTCAGTGCAAAGATATGCAGAGACCTTGGGGGTAAAACTTGCAGGTGAGCAAAGGAGACAAGGAGGGATGAAAATCAACAGGGAGCCAGGCACACAGATGCACCAATCCTCTGATGTACCTGACACAACTCAATTAATAAACAAACCCAAAAAGAGGTTACTCACTGGGAGAAGCAACATGTCTTGCAAATCCAGAGGACAGAATGCAGGCAGGGGTCCCTACTTATTACAACCCCTGAAGGACATTTGTCCCTCAAAATGCTATTTACTTTTCTTAAACAAAAAATACCAGACCAATAGGTATTGTAGCTAAGAGAAGTCAGAAGGAAAAATATTTAAATGTTTTGACTGCAAAAGTTATTAAAACCACATACAAGTTAAGTCTCAAAGAAGTAGATGAGAAGTTCAACAGCAATGGGAGTAAAGGATGAAGCTTAAATTTAATGTATGAAATAACTATAAACATTTATCTTTTATCTTCCACTAGTGCAAAATCTCTGATTGTTGATAGATGCTACTAATCCTGTGAACTAAAATCAGATTACTTCAGCAGAGGAGTTGACATCCAAATTTAGCAGATAGTACAGATAAACAGTACTAATGAGAAAAACATGTTGTTTTAAATTTAATTTAAAATTGGAAAACAGATGTTATTTTTTTTATTGTGACAAACACGAAAGCCAAAATACATCTGAAAAATATTTTAAATTGCAATTTGAAATAATATTTTATTTCTAATAGTGCTCTGGCTGGAAAAACATAAATCACTGTGTCTCTTCTTATTTCTATAGGGTTTTTTGCAGATATATGCAGTAATACATTCAAACCCAGATTTTAAAGGCACGCAGTTTGAGCCACTCTAAAAAGATATAAAAGGCCTCTCATAGTCATAAGTAGAAAAAAATCCAGACTTCGTTTGAGGAATATATTGTCTTTCCTCAGAAAGTTTGGAAAATAATTTGCAAGAGCAAATGAGAAAAGTAATTACATGCCAGCCAGCATCTCTCCCTCTCAGACAAAGACACACACACAGTAACATGCAGATCTCTCTTTCATCTCATGGTCAGCACTGGCTTCTATGGAGGAGGGGTAAGGGTCTCCTAGACCGTAACAAACGTGAAGCAGGTTTCTCAGAAACAGCTCTGTGGGCCACCCAGAACTACAGGCCTGAAGTTTTTTTTAAAATACTCCTGATTTTGCAAATTGTTTTTTAAATATTCAGCCATAACATGGCATAGAGCCGCTATCCTGCCTCAGCCGAACAAACACAAAAACAAGAATCACTACAAAACATGCAAGATTTACTGTCCTAAGTTGGCTGGCTACATAGCTTTAAAATGTGATAAAAGCTGTAAATTGCAGGTCAAAGGTCTATTTTGCAAAGAGCTCTGACCCACATTAAAGCTGGGAATCCCAGTCAGCATCGGAAGGCGGCCGGACCCTGCTGGGAGTAGGGCGCGCTCCAGGTGCGGGGCGCGCCCTGTGCCGCCGCAGGCACGGGATAAGGTCCTCCCCCGTGTATCGGGACAGAAGCCCATTTGCCTTCCTAGCTCAGCCTCCTTGCCATGGGCTATGTCTATCATCAGGGTACAATGTATGTGGCAGAAGTTTAGTGCAGCTCTCTTGGGAAAGCCTTAGACGGCCAGATGGGCTATTTAAGCTCAAGGTTTCTTCCGTTTGCTTACAGTGTTTAAAAATCCTTGGCAAACTCCCCCTTGTTGTCCTAGTAACTGCTTAGCCATCCAGCACAATATTTTTATACTGTATAATAATAACCAAATACCTTAACGTTTACTTTTTTATGGTTGAATTCCCAAACCAATGGGATAGTTATGCTCTATCATCACAGCCTCGGTAACTAAAACAATGCCAGTGCTCATCACAGGTCTAGCACCCTTCCAGTGGTAGGGTACTCGGTGGAGGGTACAAGCCATGCTTTTTATCACAATCAAAGGAGACCTAAATAAGACATTTGCAAATGGAGTTCTTTCCTTGCTGTTTTCCCCAGCCCTTCTCCACTCCATTTATCCTCACTGTGCAATCCTTATAAATCTGCCAATATAGGAACAAGGGCCCATTCCCACAGCCATTAGTCATGTAAGTGGTCTTTCAGCATCTATGAAGCAACTTATATGAAAAACAGCTTAAGGAACACACTCGTTAAATAAAGTAAGGGGGAGGGGGGGAGAGGGGAGTGGGGAGATGGGTCACAGAACCGCCTGAATCCTCTTGTCACCCTCTCCCCTATGCACTCTCTTATTGAGATTATAAATTTGTGACAAACAAAAATCCAGTTACCAGAATAAACTTAGCAAGGAGTTACAGGCAGCAATTCTCCTTACAATTTTCATAAGCTGGCAGCCTCTCCCCCCACTGTTGTTGGGTGACTAATGACGCTGTAATTTTAGCAGGGTCAGGAAAAGCACTGGGTTTAATTGGCTGCACACGCACCGCGAGGCAGCGTCTCTGCATTACAGGCAGACATCCATCCCAGGGAGAGGAACCAGAATTAACTCCAAAGCTTGGAGCACGAGGTAACCCCAGTCAGGGAACACGAGCAGGACAACTGCAAGGCCGCTAGGAAATCCCCTTTGCCGCAGGCAGGAATGCCAGCAGGGCCCCGAGCTGCTGTCATGCAACGCTCGGCTGTGGAGTAGGTTGTGGGTTCCATTATCTCCATTTAGCAGCTCAGCAGCTGCACGCAGGAGATGAAGAACAGCTATTGCAGGCTATGACAAGGCTGAGGTTGCAGCCTGCCCATATACTGCTAGAGGGAAAAGGGAGAATAAACTCATTTTCCTCTCTGGAGGTTTCTGCACAAACAACTGAACAGCAGCAGCAATAACCCCGTCTTCTGTCATGAGAATCAGTTTTGTCCTTAAATAATAGTTGAAATTATGAATAGGTTCTCCTTCTGAAATTAAATCAGGAAAGAGAAACAAATGTTCCTGTTTACTTTCAACAGCTGTTCAGTCAAAAGGAAGAATTAAGTCAATTTAGAGTTGTTTCAAATACACAAGTTTACTTAATGAAAATATCACAAAGACATATATTCTTACATGTAGTACAGACATATATTGTCAAACATTTAACTGAGAACATTTAAGAAAGACCTGTTCAGAGATGTGATTCTTTTCTACTTAGCAACTAACAACTCCTCCAGTCCTTTCATTTGAAATATTCCCCTTATTTCCAATCTTATGGTCTCTAAGGTTTCTGTAGAAGACCAGTCCTTCCCTCACCCACACATTGTGGTGTTTATGAGCACAACAGAAAGGACATACAGACCACAGGGATGCTCCAAGTCTGACCTGTGGCTTTCTGCCCAAGCCAGACTGTCAGTGATCCATTGACTTCCACAGGTGGGCAGCTCTCAGCCCAAGCACAGCACAGCTAGAGCACAACCCAGAGTAAGACCTCCCTCCCCTCTAAGCTCTGCAGACAATTCCATCATTAAATGAATGCTTCTGATCCTTTTCCTATTAGAGCTTCACAACTGGGTCATCTTTAACATATTTCTTTTTGCAGAATATTTTAAGATCCTTGCTTCTCAAAGCATACAGGGAAATGCTTTCCAAGATGTTACGGTTCCATCTCTTGCCAGCTGTCATCCTTTGCTGAGCTTGAAAATTCTGATCTTATACAAATTTTGCATATAACAAAGAAAAAAAAAAGCAATGCCCTTTATGGCAGACTCTGCAGTATATTGACAGAGTCCAAGCTTTGCACTACTAATGCCAGCATTCACATTACTTACAGCTTTCACTTAAAATTTTCCAAGCACTCTCTACATTATCCTTTGCTGCTCCCTCTTCCCTCCCTCTGTTGAATGAGTTTCCCATAGACATCTGCAAAACTATTTCCCTGCCCTCCCTAAAATCCCTTTTTTTTGACATCCCTCTGCTTGAAATCTTTCAAAAAACACCTTTAGAGCTGTTAGATAACCAGTATGGGGTGCCACCTGTATATTATACATAAGCAGCGTCACCTTTATTGTTTCATTAGGCTCTTCTAGTCTGTATGTTTAATTTTAGCCTCCAATTTCTATGGACCATATTTTTATTTGCCTGTAGAAGTTAACACAACAGGATCCCAGTATATGAGTTTGGCATGAAGGCACTACTGCAATAGAAATTATAGGCAGCCCAGACATGATTTTTCAATCACAGTATTTTCTAGCAACTGTGAATTAACAGTTCCTTAAAAGCTGAACTGTTGATTCAGAAGTTCATATTAGCTGCTGCTGGCAAGCATTTTGAGCTTTCTCCTACAGAGAGGTAGGATTTTTGGAGGGGAAGGTGGGTGTGGAGGTGGGTGTGGAGGTGTGGTTGTTTGAGTTCTTTTGTGTAGCTGCCTGCAGAAAACAAACCAGTAACCTTGTTTGGTTATATTAACTCTGATGAGGAGAAGACCATCACTATTCAGCATGTAGATGAAAATCCATGTGCTACTCTGTCCCTCTTCCCTGTCAGAGCACACTATAAATCAGCAGTATTTGAGATGTCAGATGGTCACTTCTGCCCTATGGAGCTACTCAACATGCAGTTCAAAAGAAGATATTCAACATATTTCAACATAAGGTTTCAAAATTCATGTTCGAAAACGTCTGCAAAAAAAAATACAACAAAAAACATCTCTCTTGAGCCTGAGCAAAGTACAGGATCAATGTATCCTTACAGCTGTGGAACAAAAGCAAAATTGTGTTCACTTAGTCTCTGAAAGCACTTCTGCCTCAAGACATTTCATGGAGTGTTTACTTGGTGGCACACAGTTTAGACTGAGCTTGATAATATACAAAAGTGCAAAACTTATAAAAAAATTTGGTCCATTTCTGGTGATTGATGACTTATTTCAACAATTCCAAAATCACAACACACCTGATATCTACTGCCAAATTCAGGGGTGAAAAGGCCTGCAGCAGACATCCCAAAATAACTATTTCTGGTAAACAAAGATTTTTTTAAAATATCTGTTAAATGGGAACAATCCCGAACCAGGCACAACCAGTGACTTCTCAATACAGAAGAGGGAAAAGGAATTGGGGGAACAAAGTGAAAAGACATTAAGTAAACTAAACAGGCAAGTACAGCTACAAAATATAATTGATAATAATAGCCTGCACATACAAAGACTTACAGCTTTTAAATAGACTTCAAAGAAACAGACTTCAATCATTACTTAGCTACCTCCACAGCTGCAGTAGGTATTTTTATCTTCTTCTCCCTCCTCAAACACGCTCAGGTGTCAAATTATATTTGGCACTTCCTAAATTCATAATCCTGTCACGTTTTACAGGACTAGCTTTGTCTCATTCACTATTTGCTAAACTGTTGCTATTCAGAGATACATTTTTTTACTGTAACAACACTAGAATATTTCGCTCTTTAAAATTTAATGAAGCAAGGGGTCTTCTAAACTGCTGAGAGCGGGCCTGTTGCTCTCTCAGCAAAGGCAATCATCATTTCATCAACAACTGCAATAAAATCAGAGCTAAGAGCTCAAGCAAACATTCATTTTTATTCTAGGAATATAACAAAATAAGGAGGAAAAAATCCCACCACAGCATTAACTATATCTAATTAATGGTAATATCTGTTTATACAGACCTTGCATCTGGTAGCTATAGGGAGCCTGTCCAGGTTGAGGTGTGCTAAAGCTGGCACCATAGCTGAGAAATCCTGTTTGTCCAGGTGACTGTGACTGTGCCAATCCACCTTCTGTCTTGATGCCTGCCCACAATGCACCTAAATCAGTTAGTGACAGCAAATCTATTTGTTCATATTCAAACAGGGATGGAAAATCAAATCACTTAATTAACAGCCATTTTAACATATACCCACTATTGCCTGAGAGAATAAATATTGAGAGCATGCACAAATTAATAAGGTAATGGCAGTCTAAGAGCACACTGAAAACTGAAGTTCACCAGGGAAAGGTTAAATTCAAAACTGTGTTTCCAATAACTGCAAAAGAAATTTATACATGAACAGGAAGTTGCATTATTCCTTTTTTCCTCTCCTGCCAGAGGCAAACTTTTCCATATATTCATGACATTACACAGAGGTAGATTAGCAACTTTATATGAATTTAATGAAGCATAGCATAGCCAAGCTCTCCTGCCATCTACCCATTAATGACATAAATGAAAATTGCATTGGATATTATTCCTACATGAAAATCACACAGCTCCAAGAATGTTTTTTTTTAAGAATTAGAAGTGGATAAAGAAAACTAGCAGTATTAAGTGCAATGATGATTTTTTCAAAGGTAATTAAACATTAATTCAGTTCTTTAACAAATGAACACCTAAGAGACAGGAACTATTCCAGAAGCAATCTCCTGAACTGGGAAAAACATAGCAGAGTCATTAATCTGCATTGATGGAGAAATCCATTACACACCACATTACTCTCTCACTTCCACATTTAGTTATAAAATAATCCAAAGTCTGATCAGTGAATGACTTGCTGCCCAGTTTCAGTGATTCTTCCCTCAATTTGTAAGGCAATAAGCAAGCAAATATCAGCAGGCAAAATACTGAGGAAATGCACATAATTCAGCCTCTGTCTCTTAGTTTTAATTATAAGTTTGTCCCAACATGAACTACCATTTAAAAATAATTATAGCCAAAGTAATGGAAAAGTGATACAATATTCTTAGGTTTCACTGTGGCATTCTGTGATAACTCATTGTTCAGAAACCAACAATATTTGAACTGGATTTACTAAGTGTGAATTAGTAACATTCATTTGAAAATTACTGTTAATCTAAGTTCATTTCCTGGTTGGATTTTTCTTTAGACAATATTCAACAAGGTTTCAAGGTAGGAGTGGGCTCAGAAACTAATGCATTGGCAAAACTTCAATACCTCCCTATATACAAATGGCAGCAAATTTTCTGCCATCTAAGTAATTATTTTGCAACTGTTGTCATTAATTAACCTCAATTCCTTCTGCCAGACCTTCTAACTGCTGAGCTAAACCTGTTTGCTTGTTTTTCCCTGATGCTTACTTGATTCTTCTGTTTCATGTTACAATTAAGCAGTTCGAATGATGAATCTCAACACCTAATTTCCAAGGGGAAACTCCTGCTGTGGATGGCTTGGTATCAACAATCCCTATTTGTTATCTGTTTAAGGACTTCTGAAATGCTGATTAAATATGGCTTAAAGAAAGTTTAACTAAATCAAGCATTAAATTTCTAGTCTAAATTTCCCTTAGCAGCCTGATCCAACACTCCATCTCAGACAGAGCAGGAGATGATCAAAAGCAGCAGTAGGAGGATGCCACTTGAGTGAAGACAACTTGGCACTGACATGCCCTTTTGCAAACCTCCATGCTATGAAGAGCCTTTCATCTCCTGGGACTTACTCTCACACTTGCTCTCATCCCCAAAGCCTTCACTCATCAAACCTTGATGCTCCCTTCTCCCAAGTCTAATGTACTCAAGGAAGTGGGAAGGGACAGTGACACAAGAGGACTGCCAGGATTTGGAAAGTAAAGAAGCTGGGAAGCAAAGCCTGTGCTAGATGCTGGTGCTGGAGCAGGCAGGAGGAAAGAGCTTCAGGAAATTCTCCAGCCTCCTCAGGGGCTTTGCAGATGAAGCAGAGCCAGGAGCCCCAGGGCAGCAGCTGTCAATGGCATTCCCCTCCACCCCCCTTCCTGCCTGCATGGCTGCATGGCTGTGGAGGTGGGAAACTGGAAAAATAAGGAGGCTGGAGGTACAGCTGAGCACCTTCCCAAACTCAGCTCTAGAGAGAAAAGCTGAGGCAGGCTGATACAGAAAATCACAAATACTCTTTCTTCCAGTAGACCCAAAGTAAAGAAACAAAAAGAAAGAGGCCTCAAGTCAGTTTTTTCTTTCACATAGGCATAAGTCTTCTCCCTTTATACTGCTGTAAGATTTCTGCCTGGATGAAAGAAAGGCAAGACAGAGGGTACATGGGGTCTAAACTGCAGATCAAAGGGTAGAATTCTGGTTCTAAGCAAGGCTTCAGCTCTTGCCTATTGCAAATGAGTGTCCTAATGCTCTCCAATTTCATTTGGGAGCACAGATTATATGGCATGCCTTAAATAAGCAAAAAATATATGTTAAGTCCTAAAACTTTTTAATAGTTATTTGCTTTTAAATATTACTCCTATAAAGGACATCAGCAGGAGCACCTTAGCACCAGCCACAAGGCACAAGTCTGAAAAGAACCAAGCACATAAAAATTCTCTTGGCTCAGGAGCAGAGGATTTCAGTGGTCAAAAGTAAGCTCTGCAATGTAAAACATTGCAAATTTATCTGAAGTCCTAGGCATGGGGGATGGACTAGGCAAAAAACCAAACCAAAACAAAAGACCAGGCAGGCATGTTAACCCTCACAAGCAGTTGCCAAGTAAAGCAACTCTCAATTACAGCTCCGACGACAGTGAGACAGCTAAACTCAAGTAGTGAAATCAAGGCCTGGCTGAAGTCAGTGGGAATTTTAGAGTTGACTTCAGTGAAGTCAGGATTTAATCCAGAGGAACCAAGCAAAAAAACAAAAAAGTCACAGTTTGGGCTGCCCAAACATAGCAGTCAGCCAAGTATGAATACGAGGTGTCCACAGGAGAAACAGGTCAACAAAAGCAGGGTGGGGAAACGGGCTGTTTGTTATCATCCCCCCTGATCCAGATGGAATTAGCAGACAAACTCTCATCAGCAACAGGAGCTCTTGTGTGTGTCTGTGTGTCTGTGTGTGTCCAAGACTTCTCATCTCACAGTGTAAGTTTAAAATATGTTCATTCAAACTGAAGCTGAAACATCCAATTTATAATTAGAAACCTATTTTAAAGTAAGGGAGAAAATGTATTTCTTTTACCTGGTGTTCACCATAATCTGCCATAGGATATACTTGAGATTCAGTGGATTTTCAACTTGCAGACTTCAATATTCACCAGTTTTGCACTTAAAAATTTTAACACTTTTAAAGTGAACAGCTTATATGGCAAGTTCTGTCCTTTCGGTATAAAACTTACATTATCTGAACACATTTTTACAAAATATACTGCTCAAAGCATGTGGATTGTATATTTTTAATATATTCCCCCAGAGGAATATAAGACCTATTTTCTAATAATGCATCCTTGCTGCTGCACTGCTATGTGGTCTGCCAGCAGACAGTCTGGCAGGAAAATGGTCTCACCCATGGCAGCTTGTTTTTAAATTAAATTTTTTGGGAAATATTTGCTACTTAGTACTATCTCCTTCATCAGGCAGACAGAGCTTTAGTGGCAATTTACCTCAATTTTCACCTCCAGGGAGTTTTAAAACATTGGAAAATGAGATTTTTTTTTTGATGGAGGCATTTTTGAATCTTTTTTTTTTTTGCCTGCTGAAAATCAGCACAGCCTCGCAGATTCATCTGGGTTCTAGTAATCTGTACCAGCTGAAATTCAGACTTTTACATCCCGATGTAACCTCACACACTGCTGGGGAGCAGAGCCCTGAGCAAGTCACCAGGGGCTGGGTATGTGTCATGGAAACCCTGAGATCTCTTTTCCCATTTCACTGCTGTATTTTTGATGTCACCAACAGAAAGCTAATCATGAACCTCTCCTCCTGACCCCAAAATGAGGTTTATTTTCTTGAGTACCTTTTTAGCTCTTTAATACATAAATTAAACATCACTCATTCCAAGGTGAGAAAACTAACAGTCTTCCTCAAGAAATGCTCTAGTGCTGTCCCACTAAGCACTAACCTAAGGGTCACAGAGGCTTGATCTAAAGAACGTTTACCTGAGGAATAAAAGAGCACGGCCGGGATTTCTTACCATAGGAAGGGATTCCGTAGGGCTGGCCGGGCTGGGGGTAGGTGGCATAGGCTGTGGCTTGCTGCATTCCCGCTGGGAACTGTGCCTGCCCATAGGCAGCCATCGTTTGTGAGGATGGGGTGGGGAGAATGTGTGGGTAGGGTCTGCTATTGATTACAAGGGACAGAAAATAGGACAGACACTCCATTAGACAGACATGCACGTACTTATTTTTAGCTTTATTATAATCCTGCTGTTTCATTAACACATAATCATAGGCTGTGCTAGACAATGGAAACTTTAGGAGACAAAATAAGAAAGAAATAAGAATAATAATATAATAATAAAGAAACCATAAGAAATCAATAATAAAAGAACAAGTGAAATACGTACTTTACAAATATTTTTCAAATACATTCTTAGCATTTAAAAAAAATTTCCCTAGAAGCTGCTGCAGTTCAAATTATGGCTTAACAGATGGACTCAATTATTATTTTAAATGAGGTTAAAATCTGCCTATTCCAGTTATTATTATTACTACTACTATTATTATTTTAAAAAGATATCATACTTGGAAGGGTAAATCTGTGGTGGGGAGAACTGGTGTGTTTGTCTTGGGCTGAAACCGCTGCTTCCAATTGCTGCACCAAGGAGAAAAGAAAGCATACAGAAGTGTAAATACACACACCAAAGATAAATATTATTTTTCCTAATAGAATTTCAGAGTATTAACAAGATTTTAATTAAATTCAAATATCATTGATACCTTAGATAGAAAATAATATTTTATGAGGAACTATACAGGAATGCTAACATTAAAATCTTGATTGCAAATCTCAAATACTAAACTGCCTCTTTGTACAATTTCTGAGCCATAGTTTATTCTTTGGTTGCACACAGGCAACATTTTCAATGCAAACAACCTATTTCCTAATGGAAACATTTCCCTTCATATTTTCAAAGGATTGTTGATATCTCAAGTGCAACATTTTATTAACTTTTAGAATTTTTAAGACCTACATTTTATGAAGGAGCTTTATGCGTGCCTCGATTGGAAACACATGGGCCACTTCAGAGCACGCGCCTCTTTAAAAAAAAAAAAAAAATTCCTAATACAGACTATGCATTACCTTATTACAATTCTATTTTCTTCCACCTAATCTGCTGTCTAAAACGCTTTCAAGCCCTTTAAATCAGTATTGCAGAAGGATGTCCAGGGTGCAGAAGCAGTCAGTGAAACAGGTAAGCGGAGGAGGCTGCACCGCGAGCCGCTCCCCGCGCAGCGCTGCAGACACGGAGCCTCCCCCAGCACCGCTCACTGCTGTCAGCGTCTCTGGGTGCTGCTCAGAGCGTGGCAGCTCTGCTGGCCTCCTCTGCTCAGGACAATATTTTTGGGAGCCCTTCCATCTCTGGTTCCTGTCTGGGTGTCACTTCTCCTCTAGGTCCCAAGGTGGGCCTGGGAGCCTTTGCCAGGAAAGGGTCAGCAGCAGGTTATGAGACTACTGTAAGATCAGACAGCCCGAGAAACAACAGGCCTTATTGCTAAGTGCTTGGAAATAAACAAGGCACACATAATTACCCCTCACCAGCTACCCCCTTCCTGGCCAGCTACAGGGAAAATCCATCATCTTTACACTCTGGGAGGGAAGCAGGGAGTCTCTTTCTGTGCCTTCTATATCCCATAATTTTTCTTTTCTGTGGCCTGTGAGGCTGCAGGCATGCCAAGTGTTAAACTCCAACCTTTACTCAGACCACCAAGATGTATGTAGCTACAATTAGGTACATACTGTATTTTCTTCTTTCAGAGAATTAAAATACCTTAGAAGCCATCCCACAATATAATATTAGATCCTTTTCTGATTTGATTTGCACCATAAAACCAATGTGCTAGAAATACCACAGTTAGTCCACAGGTGTGCAAAACTCAGCAAACATCTTAGATTGTTCTCACAGTGTTTGCATCTTGTATGCCAGGAGCTAAGATGCATATTTGCCTTCCTCTAAGAAAAGAAGCCTGACAAAGAATAAATACTTTGATAATAATAAATTACAATAAATGAGGAAGACCTACCCCTTAAATTAGAATAATAATCACAGAGGCATGTATGTTTACTCACAGAAAACAAAAAGTAACTACTCTGGGCGAGAAAATTCCCTAGTGAGACTCCCACCAAAGACAATAAGCCTGATATCAATAAGCCTGATACTGTTATGCTCCTCACTTGGGGAAAACTCCCGTTGACTTAGACTAAAATGTACAGAAATCGGTAAAAGATGGAAAGTACAAAAAGCTTTTTAAGAGAGGTGAGCAGGTTTAGATCACATGGGATAAGAAAATAATAAATGAAAAAAATGCTGAGTTCAAAACTTGGGTTTATTCCTTACCTGATCCTGAGAAATTGTCTAAAGACCCGTCTGTGGTGGTAGTAGTAGCAATCTCACTGCTGTTCATTGGTTCTGTTTTAACTACAGAAATATAAACAGAAGATATTCTATATGCTCCTAATATTCTTGCAGGTGCATGCACACACACTCACCACAAACACAAACTCAATAAAGCAAAATTCTGCCAAAATGTTCTAAATCATGGCTATCAATATTTTGCATTTTATGTATTTGTGTATACAAACAGTGCAAAATACTGGCAGCTATGATTTATTTACACAAAAATATAAGATGATCAAGAGGGTTATTCCTGTCCCCAAGGAATAAAAGCCACTGTAACAAACCAGAAGTCCCCATGCAACTCTCTGCACCTGTCCTGATTCCTCTTAATCCTACAGACCCAACAATAAGGATCCACATTTAGATCAGGTCACACAGCATTTACAGGCTTGAAAGACAGCAAATTGAATAAGACAAAAGAGGAAATAATTTTTAAATGTTTTTTTGCTGAGGGCTGTTCAAATTTTGTTTCCAATTAAATAATTTTTCAGAGGAAAACTAAGGATTTGTGATGAAGTAAAATACTTTTCTTGTTGTGGATTTCTCCTCTTAAAACGAAAACCAACTTTATACTCAGCAACCCTGAATAAGAAAAGAGGACACAGTCCTCACCAAATACTTCAAAGAATGCTTTTATATTTTATCCCTCTGCACCCACAACATAACATGGCTGTCTGAGAGTTAAAAAGAAATAGACCAAGTGATTATTGCCTGGCTTATGCTGATTCATAATCAGTAATCAATTAATGAATTTTAATAAAACCTCAAGTAAATTAACAATTTCCCTTTCTGTCAGTCCAATGCAAAGTCTGTAATCCTAAGATCAGGACAGTATCCTGATCCAAAGAGCAAGGATAGGGCTGACTTGGCATGGATGCAAAATAGGCACCAATAGCTACTCCCTGTACAGTTTGAATATACATGTGTGTTCAGGAATTACAACCATCCCTAGCAGAAACCTTTGGTACCAAGTTTGAAAAGGGTGAGGCAGAGGGATGTCCCTCTTTTCACAGAAGACCTTTCCTTTCATTGCCAGTCCACATTCTTATTTCTGCATGTTTGATTTCCTGCACCAAGCCTCCTCCATGGGATATGTAAGAAATCTCTCCAGTTTTTACTAATCGTTCAGTATTTTCTTTTGACTCTCATGCAGGATTTCTGCCTGCTAACTTGGGAGGTCAATGCTTAGCTGCACACAAAACTCTGCTGTGTCTGCATTAACAAGCAATGCAGTCCATTTAGAAAGTTTCATGACATGAAATGGTTGGGGCAGAGGGCCCAGTGTCCAGAGGCTGGGCATTTTTGGGAGCGGTTATTCAGCTTGAGAACATTAGCTGTACTTCTGCAAAGCAGGTTTTTTGAAACAAGTGAAGTCCAAGAGACTCCCTAAGGGGAATTACTGTGGTAAGAAAAGGTGGCCACGAGGTTCACTCCAAAAGTGCACTCATGATTTGAACCATAACTCTATTACAAAGGTATTTCTTAAAAACACAGAATGTAAGTTATTCACCATTCATTTAACCACTAAATACTGAAAGTCTAAAACAGAGATACAATGAGATATTTATTGCAGAGTGTGTATCTAAGAAACACTTTTACATGTTCTACAGTTTGTCAACCTAGATATGAAAAATTATAGGATCTACATTATCTTCTGCCTTTTCTTAAAAGTTTATCACAGCTACATTTTACAGCCAGACTCATACTTCTCTCATAGACTACTACAAGTTTCCCCAGAATCTGCAAGTCTTCTGAGCCTAATTTCCATAATGCAATTGTACTTTGGGAATAACAATGAAAGATGCTTTCCTCTATAGCTGGCATCTGTGGTGGGGGAAAACAGAGGAAGATAAGACAGATCCACCTAACCTGGAGTAAAGGGTGGAAATTTTTAATATGTGCTTTCTCCAAACTCTTCTCCATTGCAGAAACAACATTCCATATTCTTCATTTTTAGGATCATTCCAAATTAGTAGTCCGAGGACTACGCTGAACTGCCTCACACAGTATAGAGAAGTACAGTGTCAGTTGTTCTAAATAAAAAGCAGGCCTTCTGAAAAGGACTTGGGATTTCTGGAGGATGGGAAGTTAGGTGAGAGCTGGAAATGTCCATTTCCAGCCCAGAAAGCCCAGCTGCATCCAGGGCTGCATCAAAAGCAGCGTGGCCAGCAGGGCAAGGGAGGGGATTCTGCCCCCTGCTCTGCTCCCTGAGACACTACTGGGAGAGCTGCATCCAGCACAGGAAGGACATGGACCTGTAGGAACAAGTCCAGAGGAAGGACACCAAGATGACTGGAAGGGTGGAGCACCTCCCCTGCAAGGAAAGGCTAGGATATTTGGGACTGTTGAGCCTAGAAAAGGTTTTGGGGTGATCAAATTGTGGCTTTCCAGTAGATGGAGTCCACAAGAAGAATGGAGAAGGACCTTTTACAAGAACATGTAGTGGCAGGAAAAGGGAGAATGGATTCAAAGGGAAAGATAGTAGGTTTATACTAGATACCAGAAAGAAATTCTTTACTCTGAGGGCAGTGAGGCACAGGAACAGGTTGCCCAGAGGAGCTGTGGCTGCCCCATCACTTGAAATGTTCAAGGACAGGTTGGATGAACCCTTGAGCGCCTATTTGGATCCTTGTTCAAGATACCGTTTTCCAACAAACATAATCAAAATCTAATTTCTGTTTCTATGTGTAATGAGCAATACTTCTGTGCAACATAGTTTAAAACTGAATGCTGTTTACTACACATATTATTTTAAAGATACAGAAAAATATTAAATACAATGCACTGCCACCTTCATGGGAAGGAACTCTAGTTGCTGATTGAGGTGCTCACCAATTTTTCATAAAAACTTTGTATTCTCTCTCAGCTGCTTTGTCTCCTGAATATATAAAAATCCCAGGATATAAGAAAGGATGTTCCCACTATCCTGGATACCTGGATCTAGATACCCATTACTTGGGTGATAATAAATATGCCCTAGAATGCTGTCTTTAGAAACAACCACAACCTTAATGAACCTTTGCGGCAAAGATAGCTGGGAATTTAATAAAGATGAACAGGTACTGAAAAACTCTCCATTCTCCAAGCACTTTAAAATGCCTGAAAATTGCTGCATATTTCCTTCTATCAGCCTAAGCACTTTTAAGAGGATGAAATCTTCCTATACAAATAAATAAATTGAGAAGAATAGCCATGGGTTTACCTGTTGGAAATATTTACATGTACTCTTACTGCAAATGAAGGTCTCTTTGTCCAAGACAAAACTCAACTGCCATGGAGCATCCTTCACCCCAGAATCATAGGGAAAGAGAACTGCAAAGGGATTGCCTAAGAATACAAGGCTCACAGTCTATCCCAGCCGCACATGAGTCATCCATGTCTATGATGAGAGACATATGGAGCTGTCCAAGGAGCCAGGCTTTGGCTGGGCACAGATCTGGCCCCGCCACATGCTGCTTACGGGTGCTCTGGAGTTCAGCTCTTCACATTTTCCATGGCAATTAACATTTCTGCAACATGTCCTAAGCTTTCACAAGATGACACTGGGACATGAGTGGGAATATTGCCACATCTAGACAACACACATGGCAAGCTTGCCAGGACCAGCCAACACCATGCTCACTTGTGGTAAAAACTGTAAAAAGTGACACAAGAAAAGTTCCCCTTCCTGCTGTTCCTTTATCAAAACTGACCTTTACAGAGATGCAGAATCATCAGACTTGAATTCTAGAGAGAGACCCTGATTTAGCAATGTATTACTAAGTTTTAGTGCCATCCAAATCACTCATGTATGAGATTATCAATAAGAAGTCCAAGAAGCAGACTAATGTCTTCTTAACCTGCTGCAAAAAGTCAGTGTTTATTTACAACCAGTGATTTTGATTTGCTTTATATATGGAGGAGCTTAAGGAATTATGTCAACAAAGAGATTTTCCCCCCTTACCTTTTGCTTCTAGTAATTTGTGAGATTCTAAAAATACTTAAAAAGAAACTGTGTAAGAAAACACATGGAACAGTACAAAAAATAGGAGTAGCAGATAGTAGCACAAATGCTAGCTTGAAGAAAAAAAGAAAAAAAATTCAGAGATGCCACAACCGCTGATCTAATGTTATATAGATTGTTAAGATTTTTCTTCTAAAAGAACTCAGGGACTGCAAGTGCAATGTGCCCTGTTTTGTCAGCTGTATAGCAAAAGATGGTCAAAAAATGACTGACATGGCAGTTTCTGAACTCTATTGAGAGAGAGAATTCCAGACCAGAACCCACAAGTTCATGTGGTTCATTGGCCATGTAACAACTTTCTGAGTTCACAGCTCGTCATGCAGTTCCTGGTATATATATCAGTAAAGACTGTTATGAGAATGAGATGCTGGCTATTTTAAATTTGGATTTTGAGACCTAATATTTGGCTACTCCTAGCACAGAAGTTGTAGGAATACCTCATAAAGATTTGCACCTTCAAGCATGCAAAAAGTAAGGTTTTAAAATATCTTCTAAAAATTGCTTTTATTACATTAAATACATATAAGTCTTGCTCTACTGAACTCATTTTTGTTAACAGCTATACCATATACATGAAATCAGAATAGAAATATTGCAAACATGCCTGACACTAAATAGGTTCTAATTTTACAGTTTTAAGATTGAATTAACACTATGATGTTATATTCTTTGTATTTTACAAAAAACTGGGCAAAATTAAATTATTCTTGGCTGACAGCTCTTTCATGGGCTACAAAAGATTCAACAAAGTGTAGTAGTTAGTTTACAGACATATATAAAAACGCAACCTCTTGCCCTATTTTGGCTGGTATCTTCAAATAATAGTAGTAACTAAACACCATGTAAATCTTGATTAAGTACTTAATGTATAATCAATTGCTATTCACACACTTTTTTGCTTGGCATCATCCTGTTTCTGTACTCACTGTAGAAGCCTAAAGTTCCCCTAGAAGCATAAAGATAATTTTTACTAACAACAAGACAAGAATTCTACCTGGAACCTCTAAGCTGATTATAT